AACACCTCCACTTCTAAGATGATTTGTACCTCAAATTGCAGTGTATTTAAAAAAGATATTTTTTTACAGGATTTGTGATTAAAAAAAGTTCCTTTTGGCCACTGTTGAAGGCATTACCACGCGCAGTCTCCTCAAGCCCACGACGCATCCCTTGACTGCCTTCAAAACCAAAGGTGGGGCAACGTCGTTCCTTCTCCACTTCTCATCACTCCAATCGAATTTACTGAATGTGGAGATGAAGTAGAAAAAAGAAATGTCGTTCTTTGTAATCCACATATCCTTCACACCTAAAGGCAGAGTGTGTTTAGATTGCCCAGAGCGGCAATTACGGAGCGTATCTGTAAGAAGATTTATTGTCCACGGTTGGTTGTAAGGGGAGGGGGAAGGGAATGAAGAAGAGGTAAGAATTAGCCCACCTCACCTCACTTCACCTCTCATATTTCCTCAGGGGTTGATTATCACCATTCTTTACCATCATGCTATTATTTGCATTGAGATGTGTAATTTGGAGGTGGAAGTGAGATGAAGGAAAGTGGGTATGGGCTTGAGGAAAGGCCAGAGCTTGAAGGTTGGAATTTAGGCCAGCAGGAGGATGAATTTAGTGGAGCACAACACCTAACCGAGATCGCCTTATGCAGCAGTTGTATTGTGTCCTTTGCAAAAAGAAATATTCAATGCGGAATGGTGAGGTATTCAAGTGTTCTGCTACCTCAAGTGGCGCCAAATGAATAAAGCCCAGTCAACTGCCAAAATTGGAGTGGATAGCAGTAGGAGCAGTCAACAATCAGTCAAATCCAACATTGACGTTGATGCGAAATTTGTTATCTGGAGAAGGGATAAAAATTTCAAAATACTAAAGAAGAGATTAGTGGGAAAGGAAGAAAGTATGTGATAGGTGAACGGGTAAGATAATTAAATCTGATGAGTCAAGAGGTGGTAATTGGAGTAATCCCACCGCCAATCACATGGATTGTTTGTACCAAATGCGCTTGGCCGTGGATTTGGTCTGATAGACGTTTATTGTAATGGCGGTTAAGTAGCTACTCACTAAAATTAAGCGTTTGGAGGAGGAATGTAGCGTGCTGCGTGATGAACTCCTGACACGACAAAATGTGGACTGAATTCGGCCATCGTTAGTCCCCTCGTCTCCTTACATCCTGACTCCCCGATCGGGGCTGTTGCACCTCACCCAATGTCAGGAGGTGTTGAATCAATGCGCTCAGTGACACCAGTGCAAGCAGTGGAAGCAGTGGAGACAGGAATGCGAAGCAGTTGTGGTGATGCTGTCGTGGAGATGTTGTGGAAAGACGGGTTGCAAGAGGTGACGGTGGTGTGCAGAAGTGCATCTCCTGCCTTACAAACCAGACATTTTTGGTGCATCATTAGGAGGGGGTGACAATGTGGATTGGGAGTGGGAGTGGGAGTGGGAGTGAGGGAGGTGGTGAGCTGAGGGTGGGAGGATGACTTGCATTAAGGTGGCAAAGAGGGCGAGGGAGAGGAAGA